TGCTTCCGGTGGGCGCTCCCCCTCCGCGGTCCGCTAGATCGTGTTTCCCGCTGGACTTTGGTTCCGCGCGACTTGCAGCGCCCTCGGGGTGGGGAGGCGGCGAGCAGGGCTCCTGGCGTGGCTCTCCCGCGGCGCCTGTTAGAGCTGCCTCCGGGGGCTTGGCGGTAGGGAAGACGTTGGCCAGACAGAGAGCTTTTTAAGGGGAGCCTCGTGGCGAAAGAACCCCCAGATCCGTGTTCCCCAGAAACACCACCTCTCTCCCTTTCAGAGTCTGTCCCCTCCTGGGCCGCTCTCCCCCCACCTGTGAGGCCTGCCCTGTCTGACCTAGTTCATCTCCATCCCCTTTTACCCTGCTTGACTTCTTTTTCTAGTTTACTGCCTGTCTCCCAGCCGGAATGCAATAAGCTCCAGGAAGCACTGGCTCACTGCTGGAGCTCCGGCGCCCGGCACCCGGCCAGGCGCTCAGTAAGCATTGCCCTTGCGAGGACGGATTCCTCGGGAATGTGTGTGTGAGCTGATTTCCGCTGGAGCTGAGTTTTAGTAACGCCAGGCTCGTTCCCAGGCAGCCTGGAAGCAGGAACCCGCGGAGCACGTGTGAAAGCTGGAAGCACAAATACCAGATGGGGAGAGGCAGGCAGGTGGAGAAGGAAGTGGACCACGCCCGCCCCACGGCCTTCATGGGGGAACCAGCAGTTTTGTGGAGTGTGAGGGCAGTTTCTCCCAGCCAGGGCATAAAGGGAGGCTGAGGAGGTAGGTAGAGATTCAGACAGCCAGGCAGGCTAAGCAGGACCCTTTTACAGGGCTGCTAAAGCATCAACTCCAATATTGAGTTCTAATTCCAAGAAAGGTTCAAAGTAGAGCAAGCAGTGTTTGGAAACAGCTAAATGTTGGCTGAGTTACTTTGTTGACAGGCAGCATGGTAAGTGAAAACAGAGCCGAATGAATGTTAGTGATTATTGGTCATATTAGTGGTTGTTTCTTAATGAGTGCTATTTTTAGGAAAAGCATAATTACCTGGAAAAACATGTCCCTGGGGATGTTGGCTGTTTCAAACAGGAGATCGTCATCAAATCAAGGTCTTACCATCTTAGCTTTACTGATACAGGCCAAGTCTTCAGGAGGGAATAAACTGACCCCTCTTCCCCCAAGCACTCGCTTTGTCAACCCAAATGAGGAAGAGGATGGCAATCGCATGTGCCTTTTGGGCTCCAGGTTGGAAGGGAGTCTCCTGGATCCCTCCCTGTCTTAGTCCCAAGACCTCAGAGGGAACCCAGGCGTCTCCATGGTGACTGCAATAAGCTTCTCAGGGGAGCAGAGCCAGGTCCACGGCTATGGGATTATGAATAACAAAGTCAGCACCGTTCTGTGGCATTGCTTTGCGGCTGGACTCCAGCCCTGTGCCTGACCCAGAAGGATAGGAAAAGGAAGCTGCAGATTTCCACGGCCCCAAATAAACACAGCCTGCTCGGGCCATCTGGTGCCCTGGATTCTGGGGGAGGAGGGGGGGAGAGGATGAGACGTTACCCTGGGATGGAGAGAGCAGCTGCCAGGCTCCTTTCCCGTGGTGCTGCGGTGAACCATCCAGAGTAGAGGCCCTTCTGGGAAGAACAGGTGAGAGGTGCCACCTGCTCTCTAAAAGGTGGGCACTGAAGGCGGAGCCAACCTTCCTTCCCTCCTCGGTCCTCCAGAGGCTGCGACTGCTTCAGGCACCCGCCCTTCTCTATGGCCTGTGAGTTGGGGTATCACCCAAATTGGCTCTTAAAACTCAACATTAGCCCAAGTAGTTTGGGGGCGTGCAGGAGGCAGCCGATCAATGTTTCTCTCTCATCGATGTTTCTCTCTTTCCCTTCCTCTCTGAAATCAATATATATATTTGAACCCCTCAACATTACATGGAAGTAGGGAATGCTCAGTATCATAGTGGGATTGGGTCAGGTCTGGGTTCAAATATTTCTGTGTGACTTTGAACTACTAACTTAACCTCTAAGCCTCAGGATCCCCTTCAGTAAAAATAGAGATTTTATAGCTGCCTGTCAGCAGGCAACAAGAATTAGCTGCTACTAAGGCATGCTAAGTGTGTACAGGTTTTTTGAAGGCATTTCCTTTTACTTTCAGAGAGCTGATGGTTTTTATCTTTTTTCCCTGCGGCACTGGGGTGGGAAGTCCAGCCTGACTAGCTGTATTCCACACCTTCCCTTCTCCCCTGACTTTTATCTTTTTTCCCCTGCAGCACGGGTGGGAAGTCATCTGACTAGCTGTATTCCACACCTTCCCTTCTCCCCTGAGCGGCTGGGCAGGCAGCACTGAGCATGCCCCTGGCATGGGTGGGCAAAGCTGCCCCCTTCCTGGAAGCCGCTTCCTTTTCTGCCTAGTTGCCTGGGAACACCGCGAGGCTTTCAGCTCAGGGTGTGCAGGGAGGGCAGGCAGGTCTGTTTCCTGGGATCATGGGAAGGGGGGCCAGTTTGGTCTCGGGGAAGGTTGTCAGTCTGGGAGCAGGGAGACACTGGGTAGGCGGCCCAATAAGGATCAAATGGTGACGGGAAGGAAGAGGCAGGAGAAATATTTCCAGAGGGGAATTTGAAGGCGACGGACGGGTGGCTGGGTAGAAGTCACCGCTTCCTTTGCTCCTCACGTGCAGCTGCTCTGGTGTCTCACCCACAAGGTGCTCTCACCCCACTGGGGGCAGGTCACACAGACAGGAAAACCTACAGCCTTTGCATGCTGGGCAGTTGGGTTAAAAAGCAGTCACCACCAATTTGGGGCCTATTGTGGACTCCCCACACCACACCGTCCTCACCTCCAGGGCCCAAGGGAGGTTGCCCCTGACTCCTTCAGGAAGGGAAGGGGTGCAGTGGGGAGCTCCCCGAGCTGACCTCCGGGGGAAGGTTATGGGAGCGTTTCCCTGTGGGATTGGGACCCACAGAGCCCGCAGAATTTTCTATGTGGAACTGAAATGTGGCGAAGGCAGCAAGAAACTGAGCCCCCAAAGATTCAGGAGCCTTTGCTTTGGTTTCTGAAGTCAAAGCCGTTGGCAGGTGTGGGCTGGGAGCTGCAAAATCCGTCCAACAGGGAAGGTGCACCCAGCATGGGGTGCCCTGCCCGGCACGTGACCCGCATAGCTGGCACTCGGTGAACACGCAGCTTCCCAGGCCTCCTGTCAGAGCTCCTAGCTGCCAGTCGTGCGGGGATGGGGTTCAGGAAGCCCTCTCTCCCCAAAGCTAAGTGATGGAGGCGGGTGTGTGAGACGCACAGACAGCACAGGGGTCGGGCCATTTCTGCTTTTAGAATACTGGTGCATTTTTTATTAAAGAAGAGAATAAAGCATTTGCAAATATATTTCTCTCATGTATACTTCAAAGGTGATGCTGGTGGGCTGCTACAGAACTGGGGAACAAACAGGCAGGAGCCCTTCCCCCACCCCCGCGCACCCCCCCCCCCAGATGACCAACACGTGGAGGGCTGGGAGCTGCCCAGCTCCAGAGGACAAAGGGCTCCAAGGTGTGTGGCCAGAGGATGGCCGACAGCTCAGCACAGTGCCGCCCAGAGAGCAGGTGGCGCCTCGGGGGCGGTCGGGCGGTGTAAGACCCCTGCACCCCTTAGAAACAAGTAAGGCATGAAGGTTCCCGCTGGGCTCCCAGCGGAGGCCGGGCCACCGCCTTCACTGGGCTGTCTGGCTCCTCCGATTTCTTGGGTCTCAGGTTGGGTGGCAGAGACAGGAAGCCCTGAAGAGGGGCTCAGGTCAAGCTGGGGACCTTGGCGTCTCTTAGTTGCAGCTGGACTTTCTAAAGCCCTAACCAAAGATTAACCTCTGACCCCTGGGTCCTCAAGGCCCCCACATGGGCAGGAGGCTAAGAGCAGGCTTTTTATGGGAAGGAGACCTGTTCTCCATCCGGGTCGCATTTCAAAACCGGTCAGTGTGGGGTGAGTCTTGGGTGAAGGGGTGCAGGGGTGGACGCTGGGACCACTGGCTGTTGCACGTGCCCAGGACATTCTGGGGGAGCAGGTGTGACTGCTGTGGGGTCAGCTGTGGGGAGCATGGGAGTGAATGAGACACGTTATGGTCCCTGAGGTGGGGCAGGCAGAGGCCAAACTCAAGGAGTTGCAGGCGGGGTGCAGAGATGGGGGCTCCCCACCGCCCAGACCCCTGCAAGGCTTAATGCCCAGAGGCATTTCTGGGGCTGGAACCCCAGGAGGCTGGCTCTGAGGGAAATGGTGCACCACTCGTGTATGGCTGCGAGGGGTTCTGTTCCCCTCCTCTGATTGGCTACAGATCTGCAGGGGGCTGAGGGTCTCCAGGGAGAAGGCCACCTCACTAGGGCTGGAGTGGGGGGGGGGGCGCAGGCTGAGGCTCTCTGCTCTGCATGGCAGGGCCATCTCTGACCTGGGTAGGACCCTAGGGGTGGGACAGCTGGTGCTAAGGGAATGACAGTGTCCCAGCTGGGGAGAAGCAGTGGGTGGTCAAGGAGACCCCAGGAACCGGCCACAGCTGGCTCTGGGGTCCCCCTTCAAGTGTTTCCAGTTGTGGCAAGGGGTCAGGGGGACCTTACATTGCAAATCTCTAAAAAAAAAACCCAAACTTTGGGGCAAAACAAAACAAAACAACAACTGGTCCAGATGGCTTAGAAGCCTGGCCACGAATCTAGGGTCAGAAAGCTGGGGGGCTGGGAACCCCCAGGGAAGGGGGGACGTTTGGCTTTGAATCTCGGAGCTGTGCCTTGGGCTGACACAGGACGGTGGGTGGCTCTGGGAGGCCAGGCATGCTGGCATGCGGATCGCCCCCACACCTGCAGGCAGCAGTGGTGCCCCCCTGCCCCGCGAGCTCTCTGGAGCGGCCTCCACTGGGATGTATTGCTGCCAAAAGGCGCCCTCACTCACCAGAGGCAGCGGGCCCAGGCTCGAGGGGCCCATGGCCCGTCTGGGGGAGGCTGCAGGCTGGCAGAGGCTCACTTGCTGCTGTGGGTCTTGACCTTGGTGGCGTTGATGTCGGCCTTGGTCTTCTGGATCCTGAAGAAGATCTCCTTGAAGAGCGCCTTGTACTCGGGCTGGCTCTGCTCCAGCCGCTTGTCCACGGCCTCCACGTGCTGGCTCAGGCTCTTCTCGCCTGCCTTGGCCTCGCCCTGGCCCTCCTCGCTGCCCCCCAGGTCCCTCCACGAGCTG